CTCCAGTGCCCTGCGCCTTCCCTCCTCTGCCCCTTCTCCCCCACACCTCTCCTCTTCCTTCCGTGAGATTCTCCAGCCCCACCTCTCTCCCCCGGAAAAAAAGCAGGATTTTTCCCCCCATCACCTAGTTTTACACTGTAACTTTTGGAAATTGAGTTAAAACCCTCAATTTCCGTGTCGCCCCGAGACGCGGCTTCTCGGCTTTGCTCTGCCCTTCTACCACCACTACAACTGAGTCTTCTTCCCTCTGTCATGTTGGTAAACACCAAGTGGGAGGCTTAAAATGCCTACATCTACGGGGTATCATCGAGAGACAGGAGAAGCATCGTGTACACCCCTATAGAAAGATGAAAAACCATCGAGTAATTTTCTGCAACACTGCACTGAAAGAGAAAATCACAGTGTATATAAAACATACCTACCTAGTGGGTAGTTTATGATTAAAGCAAATGCTGATCAAATGTGTGTGTGCGCGTGTGTATACATACACATATACACATAAATATATACAAATATACATAAATATATCTAAATATACATATACACATACACACCCACACACACCTCTCTATACATCTGTATTTATATGTACGTACATATATTCTAAAACTGAAGAGACTGTAATAATCGTTAATCTTTCTACCTCTGACTAAATCGTCGCAGCTCAGCCTCCACTTCTACAATTAATTTAATGACACCGAGAATTTCCTAAACTAAAAAAAAAAGGACGGGACACCTCGGAAGCGAAAGTAAAATCCCATCAGGAGGTGCCACATTTTAACAGCCGTTTATAAACGGGGTTTCTCGTTCATATCAGAGGTTTTGCTTTGTTGCTTTTCTCTTTTAACGAAGCAGCGAAGTGGTTCGTAGTTGAAATAATCCAAACTGGGTTAAGCGAGCCCCTGCAATCTTCCTCTACGCTACAAGAAAGGTTAATTCGCAGTGAATTCGTCACCATTTCGTGGCCAGATTATCGCATTTGGGGGACGTAGAAATGTGCGGAGTTGGGAAACTTAAAAGCCAGGCTTACACCGGGCGATTCGTTTTGGGAACGGCGGGTTGCGCGGTGGGGGGTTGTCGGTGGGGGCCGCCGTCCCCCCCCCCCCCCCCCGCCATACTCCAAACAACGCCACGCCGCGCAGCCAGCGAGCCCCGCGCCGCGCC